AATGAGTTACAGAGTGCTAAGATAAAAGTGGTTACCAAATCACAATAGTTTCCAAGAAGCTGGAACAGAAATCTTATTACAGGAGTAACATATGAGACCATTCTTCCACCACTTGTACTCTTCTGTGTGGGGTAGAGTAATTCCATTTTGATCCTATGTATGTAACTGAAAGAGTCTCATAGCATGGAAAGCTATAATGCAATATGGAACACTATGCATCATTTTTAAACACATCTATGATCTGCAGTGGTTCCTAAAATATTAACATATATGTAGCATAGAAACCCCTGATATAACCTTTGATCTAATAGGGTCTACCTAAGACTGGAGAAATTGTGTGCACTTTTGTGTTACAAAGTTCATTTTTCCCAAACACACAAGGTTCACATCTTTCTATACAAAACTTAGACCGTAATAGTGAAATGGTCGCCAGTTCAGCAGCAGTGTGAACTTCTAACCGACCTAGTGAACAGATGTAATGTTCCCAATGGATCTGCCTGGAATGCTTTTGCAGAAATGAACTGGTGGTGCTTCCCAGCTCTCTTCCTCATCTCTGCACAGGAATGTGATCTTCTTCCATCCTTTGTGGAGAGTTATCTTGCTTCAGACCATGCTGCATACCTCAGTTTAGTCTCCCATCATTTCTAGTTCATAAGGTATTGGAGATAGTTGCCAGTCCCCCTGAAACAGAGACATGGGCTGAAAAGGTATCATGTTAAAATAAGAGAAGTCTGGCCTAGGTGTAAAAAGGGCGAAATATTTATAAAGGGTTAACAATTCATGAACCTTCCAACTAATACAGTTTAAGGCCCCTCACGAGACATGGGTCACGTCTAGACTGCAAGTACCATTTTTGTAACTCCCAGGATGGTACAGGTGGCAGCATCGAGCCCATGGTGGCAGGCAGCCTGCAAGAGACTAAGAAGTGCTGCAGTTGGACTAAACTGAACGTTGCACCCAGTGGTAATGGCATTTTTGAGTGCCACTGTGCATTCTGAGGCTGAGACCTTTGCCTGCCCCCCCCCCCCCCCCGTAGACTCATCGCTCGGACAATATTCCAAGCACCGGCCTTCTCCAGGGCCCACCAATGGGCTCAACAAACAGAACTGCCTGCAAGGACTAGGGCCCAACATTATTAATGTTGCTGCCGGTTTCTTTGCCCAGGATTTCAGGGCTTGCCCACTGCCTAAGTCGGCATAAAGAAAACTTTTCTTTTCATGTCAGTGAACTAAAAAAAATAATCTCTGTGGACATTATCCTTTTTACTCCTAAAATATCAGAGTACAACACCATACAAGCACCAACAAGTTACATTCCTATCCTCAAGAAGCTTACAATCTAAATACAGTAGTGTTTTACATAGCTATTTTTTGCAAGCGTGGCTGACCCTCAATTGTTATGCTATATGCTCAATTCACAAAGTTAACTCTAGAGATGAACGAATTAATCAAAAATTTTTCGATTCGGCTGATTCCCGAAATTCAGAAGAAATTCGATTCGAATGCGAACTAATTCTCTACGAATTAACTTATAAAAAGGGTTCTGGTGTTCTAGGCTTCAGAGAGCCTTTAAATTATGCAGAACACTGTACCTTTAATTAAATGCCTTGGAGATGAGGAAGAGAGGAGAAGGATGAGAGAATGGAGGAAGGGAGAAGGATGAGAAGAAAAGGAGAAGGATGAAAGATGGAGAAGATGAGAAGAGGAGATGGAAAGGATTGAGAGAAGGAGAAGGAAAGGATGGAAAAAGGAGAAGGAGAAGGTGAAAGAAGGGAAAAAGGAGAAGGGAAAAAGAAGGAAAAAGGAGAAGGAAAAGAAGGAGAAAAAGAAGGAGAAAAAAAATAGAGAAGGAGAAGGATGAGAAGAAAGGGGAAAAGGGGAAGAAGGGGAAGGATGAGAAAAGGAAAGGGAAGGATGAGAAAAGGAGAAGGAGAAGGATAGAGAAGGAGAAGGATGGGAAAAAGGAAAGGATAGGAAGAAGGAGAAGGGGTGAGAAGAAGGAGGGATGAGAAGAAGGGGAAAAAGGAGAAGGAGGGGAAGGGGGTGAGAAAAAAGGAAAGAAAGGATGAGAAAAGGAAAAAGAAGGAGAAAAAGGAAAAAGGAGAAGGATAAGGAAAGGAGAAAGAAGGAGAAGGAGAAGGATGAGAAGAAGGAGAAGGGGAAGGATGAAAAGGGGAAAAGGGGAAGGGGAAGGATGAGAAAAGGAGGAAGGGAAGAAGGAAAGGAGAAGGGGAAGGATGAGGAGAAGGATAGAAAAGGGGAAAGGAGAAAGGATGAGAAGAAGGGAAGGGGAAAGGATGAGAAGAAGGAGAAGGGTGAAAGAAGGAGAAGGGGGAGAAAAGAAGGAGGGGATGAAAGAAGGGGAAGGATGAGAAGAAGGAGAGGAAAAAGGAAAGGATGAGAAAAGGAGAAGGATGAGAAGGGAGAAGGATGAGAAGAAGGAGAAGGGTGAGAAGAAGGGAAGAAAAAGAAGAGGGGGAAGATGAGAAGAAGGGGAAGGATGAGAGAAGGAGGAAGAAAAGAAGGAGAAGGGTGAGAGAAGGAGAAGGAGAAGGATGAAAAAGAAGGGAAGGATGAGAGAAGGAGAAGGGGTGAGAAGAAGGGAAAGGAAAAAAGGAAAGGATGAGAAGGAGGAAAGGAGAAGGTTTAGAAAAGGGGAAGGAAGAAGGATAGAAGGAAGGAGAAGGAGAAAGAGGGGGAAAAAGGAAGGAGAAAAGAAGGATGAGAAAAGGAGAAGGATGAGAAGAAGGAGAAGGATGAGAAAAGGAGAAGGATGAGAAAAGGAGAAATGAGAAGATGGAGAAGATGAGAAGATAGGAGAAGGATGAAAGAAGGAGAAGGATGAGAAGAAGGAGAAGGATGAAAGAAGGAGAAGGATGAGAAGAATAGAAGGTTGAGAAGAAGGAGAAGGAATGAGGAAAAGGAGAAGGATGAAGTAGGATGATAAGGGACATTCTGTGACAGTTTCTGTACTTATTTCTGACAGTTCTTGACATTCATTCCATACAGCGGTTTCCAACCGCGTATGGAGTGAATGTCACAGAAACGTCAAAATAGGCCTATTTCTTGACAGTTTCTGGGACATTCTCTATCCATACAGTGGTTGAAACATTTGTATCTTATTTTTTCCGGGGGATAAAAAGGATCCATTTATTGGAAACAAATAATACAATGTTTCAACCGCTGTATGGAGTGAATGTCCCAGAACTGACGAGAAGAATAGCGGAGCTCCTGCAGATAGCTATTTCTGAGTGAGTTCTGTGCACATTCACATCCATACAGCTGGAATTATTCTTATTTTCAGTCCTACTTCTCTCTTCTTAAGAAGTAGGATGAAAATAAAATAATTCCAAGCCGGCAAAAAGTGTATCTGCAGAGCTCCTCTATTCTGCAGATACACTTAGAGGAGCTCTGCAGATACACTTTTTGCCGGCTTGGAATTATTCTTATTTTCATCCTACTTCTTCTTTCTTCTTCATCCTCATCCCTCATCCTCTTCTTCTTCTTCTGAAGGATGAGGATGAGGATGAGGAGAAGAAGAAGAAGAAGAAGTAGGATGAAAATAAGAATAATTCCAAGCCGGCAAAAAGTGTATCTGCAAGCTCCTCTATTCTGCAGATACAATTAGAGGAGCTCTTCAGAGTAACACATTTTTCCGCTTGGAATTATTCTTATTTTCATCATACACTTCCTACTTCTCATCCTCATCCTCTTCTCTCTTCTGAGGATGAGGATGGTGAGAAGAAGAAGAAGAAGTAGGATAAAAAAGATTTTCCAAACCGGCAAAAGTGTATGTGCAGAGTTTCCTCTATTGCTGACATTTCCTGACAGCTTCTTCACAAATGTACAACGGTTGAGAACATCTGTATCCTAAAATGGAAACTAATGGGGGGGGATGGGGGAGATACAAATGTTTACAACCGCTGTACATGTGAAGGAACTGTCAGAGAAATGTCAAATAGCGGAGCTTCTCTGCAGGGACACTTTTGCCGTCTGATCGGGAAAAATCCTATCTCGCTCACACCGAAGTAGGCAATATATTTCTGGATTCGACGCGAAATCGAATTATTCCTGAAATTTCGTATCGAATTCCGGTTCGGCACTTGGTTCGATTCGCTCATCTCTAGTTAACTCACCTGGATAAGTATACCTATTAAAAAAAAGAAGAGCAACAGTAGGTATATGAAGACAAACACTGGCTCAGTACAAGACCTGAAAGTTCATTTTCCAGCCACAAATCTCAGTTAGGTTTTAGATAATGTGATGAAAGTTAGATATTCTAAGATTTTTTTTTTAATTTCATAGTTACATAGTTGGTCTGGCTGAAAAAAAGATAAAAGTCCATCCAGTTTTTCAACCATAAAAAAAAAAAAAAAAAGTTATAATCCTACACCCACAGTTAATCCAGGGGAAGGGAAAAAAAACCCAGCAAAGCATGAACCAATTTGCTTCTGCAGGGAAAACAATTCCTTCCTGATCCCCCAAGAGGCAATCGGATTTTCTCTGGATCAACTTTACCTATAAATGTTAGTAACCAGTTATATTCTGTGTATCCAAGAAAGAAAGAATCCAGGCCTTTTTTAAAGCAATCCACTGAGCTGGCCAGAACCAACTCTTGAGGGAGTCTATTCCACATTTTCACAGCTCTTACTGTGAAGAAACCTTTCCATGTTTGGAAATTACATTTCTTTTCCTGTCTGTATATCGCTGGATCCCTGAATAGGGAAGTGTCCTTTTATTAAAAGTCAGCAGCTATAGTATTTGTATTTGCTGACGTCTAATAGTTTTTTTCAGACTGAAGAACCGCTTAAAGTACTAAGAAAGAAATAGAGTTGGAATCCAATAAATCGATAGAAGCACCATTAAGTTTTCCTTTTCTGACATTAAAAACTTTCTCCTTTTTTAATAGGGATAAACTCTTTTTTTCTAACCTAGAGCAAAGTGAACCATGTAACACTGGCTTTAAAAGGGTGAAAACATGAAATGACTGGAACAGCTGATTCACGTCAACTCACCTTTGGTCAGGCTCCAGCTGGCAGCATGATGCCGCCAGGGGAAAAATCCTGCAGGACAGTCCTTTGTGACAAACTTTTCCCAGAAAAGACGAACATTGAGGCCATAATCAATGGTACGTGGCAGGCAATCCGGATCAGCATAAACCTGTCCAATAATCTGTAAAAACCATAGTAAATAATTAAAGAATTTATGCAATGTGTAGTGATAGTGTCTGAAAAGCTGAAAAAAAAAATGACAGTCAGCTTAGACTGTTCTAACACCCCACAGTGATAAGTAGAAATGTAACTTTAAAATAATAAATACCCTGCCCAAGTTTAGGTGTGTCCTCTTATAAATGAAAAACAAAAAAGAATCTATGTGAATCTGAAGCATATGCCTGTTCAGACCTGAACCATTGCCGATTTCCTTCCTGGAACTCGGCTGGGTTAAATCACAGATCAATGCTTGCAAGGCTAGCCATACACACTTTACACACTTTGCTGTACGTTTATTAAAGTGGAGTTCCACCTGAAAAAAAAAAAATAAATAAAAAAGTCAGCAGCTACAAAAACTGTAGCTGCTGACTTTTAAAATACAGCCACTTACCTATCCCTCGGTCCAGCGGTGTCCTCACCACGGCTGGTTTCACCGGCCGTCTTCTCTCCCTGGCGCAGGCATCTTCAGTGTGGGCACCTGGCTGTGACAGCTTGCGGCTTAACAGCCGAGTGCCCACTGAGCATGCGCGATAAGTGCTGCATTTTCTGAATGGCCCCATACTCTTCTGGGACCTGTCATGTGTCCCAGAAGACTATGGGCAGGGAGGAGGGGAGGACAACTTCCGCTTCCGATCACCTAGGCAATCGTACCGGAAGTGGTATTGGGTACCTGTCAAATTCGGGTACACTCTCCCCAAAGGTGCCAATCCTTAATGGGGAGCGGGGGACAAAGGCTTAAAGCAGAACTACCCCTTTTGGGTGGAGCTCCTCTTTAAGCAGAGATAATTTATCTCATTTCAGTTCTCAGGGAAAAAATCATCTCCTCTGTCCCCGTTTATGAAGCGGTGAACATTTGTTCTCAGAAGGAGAAGAGAGAAGTTTTTCCTCTGAGAACAGCAGAGATCTGTGTAGATAATTGATCTCCTGAGATAATTGTGTGATTACAGATCACCTGAGTTTAAACAGTGAAACCAAAGTTATGCAGGCCATACATGGGTCGAATTTCCGGAACAAATTTTCTTTAGAAAATCGGAAATTTTGTGCGTTTTGTAATCAGATGGTACCACCACTGATCTTGAAATTCAACCAACCCAGCCTTCACTATCACCTCGTGTTGCTACAGAAAAGAATTTTCGTGGCCAAGAATTTTCTTTTCTTTCCAGGTCACGCTTTTTTCGTTTGTATTTCCCACATGATTCTCCCATCATTGATTTGAAATTTGTTCGTTTTTAAAAAAATTTCCAATATGACCAATCACTCACATTCAATGGTCACACGAAAATCGGCTATTTCTGTGACCCACTAATGGTGCGAAATTCAAACGAAAATTCTTAGAAAAGATTTTCAAAACAAAATTCTTTCAGAATTCGACCCGTGTACGGTCGGCTTTATATAGGCCATGCAAACACATGGAAATAATAAGCTGGGCAGCACAGTGGCTAAATGGTTAGCACTTCCGCCTGGCAGTACTAGGGTCGCTGGTTCGAATCCCAGCCACGGCACCTCCTGCCTGGAGTTTGCATGTTCTCCCTGTGCCTGCGTGGGTTTCCTCCGGGTGCTCCGGTTTTCTTCCACACTCCAAAGACATGCTGGTAGGTTAATTGGATCCTGTCTAATTTGGCCCTTGTATATGAATGCGAGTTAGTGACCTTAGATTGTACACCCCTAGAGGGTTAGGGACTGATGTGAATGTACAATATATATGTAAAATGCTGTGCAAATTGACGGCACTATAGAAGTACCTGAAATAAATTTAAAAAAAAACTAAAATAAGCACTGACCACTGGTACTTTTTAACGCATATTTTAGTACATTCTTTAAAATGTGTATTTTGGCTCCTTTTTATTGCGCAAAAAATAGAAAATATCCAGTGAGCATCACTTGTGTGGACGAAAATGCCTTGTTGGTGTTAGAGGCCAGAGCAGAATGGCCATCCTGCCTTGTATCAACGGTTCAGGTTGGTGGTGGTGGTGTAATGGTGTGGGGGATATTTTCTTGGCACTAGCAAGGTGTACCTAATAAAGTGGCCAGTGAGTGTATATGCTGTTGCTGGGATTTTGAAATATTCATGTAAGCCTGTGTTGTGCTGATGGGAAGATTTACCTGCCATGTGTAAACTGAATTCAAACAAAAGCCTGTAATTTTTTTGTTAGGTGCTGAATAAAGTGGATTTTAAGTTTATTGAACTGTCTACCAGAAGCCTGTTTACCCCTCCGATCCCAACAAATGGTGGAGGATATGGGCAGATCGAGAGGTGCAGGCTAGTCCCATGTCCTGGGTTAAAGTTACACAGGATAAAAAACGTCTGAAAAAGCAATAGACGAACTAATAAAGCAATTGATACTGGGAAATATGAAGGCGCAGACCCGCTATGAGCAGATCATGGCACAGACAGTTGCTGCTCAACAAGAGACAAACCTTTTACTGGTGGAACAGATAGTGGGTTTACAGAAGACAGTAACCCAGCAGTCTTAAATGGTGAGAGGGGGCCCCATTGTGAAGAGTGACTCGCAGAAGGCCCTACAAAAGATGATGGCCACAGATAATATTGAAGCTTATTTGACACTGTTTGAGTAGGTTGCAACAAGAGAAGGACTGCCTGAGAAAGACTGGGTGGATGTGCTGGCCCCTTCCCTGAATGCAGATCCCCAACAGGTGTACTGTGATTTGGCCTTAGAGACAGCACGGGACTATAACCTGCTAAAGGTGGAAATACTAGCCAGGATGGGAGGGACTGTTGCTTTAAGGGTGAGTCGTATTCATGACTGGCGCTTTGACAGGTCTAAGCTTTCCCGTGAGCAGATGTATCATCTAAAGCACCTGTTCCAGGATTAGCTGAAACCTGAGAAAAAGACACCCCTCTCAGATCGTGGAGCAAGTTGTCCTGGATCATTTTCTGCATGGCCTTCCCAAGGACCTGCACCAATGGGTGGCTCAGTTGGAGTCCCAGTCCCTGGATGAGATGGCTGCCGCAGTTGAACGAAGCAACAAACACAGAAAACTTGCGTGAGAGCCCTTTTGCAACCAGAGAGCTGGGCCAGAACACAGAGGCGCATTCCAGCACCAAGATGGCACCTGCTGACCGCATGGTCTGCTCAGGTGCATAACACTCCTGCTAGGAGCACCACAGTGCCAAATCCTCCTTATGGCTGGCAGGTGGGAAGAGAATCCCATGAAGTTTGATATTGGTCCTGCCACCAACCAGGTCATATGGTGGCTCAGTGTCCTAAGAGAGAGGAACCAATAGAATGTAACATGAGTTAAACATCGCTCCATGTATGCTTATGTAGTATTTACTGCAACCAACCTAAATCCGCATGAGTGCGTGCTGTGGGTTAATGGACATGAGGTTGTAGCACTTCTTGACTTGGGGGAGTGGGGTCACCCTGTTCCGATCGGACAGGTTGCAGGAAAAGCTGATACCAGTAGAAAAGGTTGGGGTGGTCTCTGTGCATAGTGATGTCAAAGACTACCAGTGGCCCGTGTAACCTTGTCCACATCAGCAGGAACTGTTATGTTAAAAGTTGGAGTTATCCCAGGATTCCGCCATGACTTGCTAATTGGGCGAGACTGCCCCATATTTTGGGACTTGTATGAACAAAAGTTCAATGGTTCAGGGGCCTTCCCCAAAAGGAGGGACCCTCAGATGAAGTCATTAATACTGTGTTGCGGAACATGAATAGTTATATGTGCCAGGTGAAGTATGAACCTGCAGAAGCTGACCTAGTTCCATTGGAGGAGTTTGCAGGATCGGAAAAACGGAAAGTTCTTCCCCTGAGCCAGACTTGTAAGAGCATGGGGGCTCCTGGGAGAATTTTCTTAGTGCTCAGATAAAGAACTCCACTTTGATTCCCGCCAGGGAACAGGTCACAGTGTTAAACGTTGAGCCACAGCGCTATGTGTAGAGAGGTAGCCTGGAGAAGGCTTATGAGGGGGTTAATTGTAGAGGGCAGGTACCCCTTCAGGCCTGTTTATTAAGCAGCTGAAAGAGACCTTTTTGATGGCAGTTTTGCTATCAGTTGTGAGGAGACTTGGAAGCTGCATGGAAGCCTCCATACTCTGACCTGCTAGGCAAGCTGATCTGTAAACTAGGGCTTTCTTTACTGTATACATTGTTGCTTGGACACTGAAAGATTCATGTAAGTCTGTGTTGTGCTGATGGGAAGATTTACCTGCCATGTGTACACTGAATTTAAATAGACAAGCCTGTCATTTTTTGTTTGGGGCTGAATAAAGCAAATTTTAAGTTTATTGAGCTGTCTCCCAGAAGCCTGTTTACCCCCTCCAATCCTGACAAAGGGTGGCATTCTTACCACCACTGTAAGTGGAGCATTCTTCTTATGACCACCAGAGGTATTTTTACCACTGATCCCCAATGGACTGGTTCTACCATGGGTTTCCCTAGATCTGAAGATGATTTCAGGAGTTGATGAAGGCTAATCTAGAGCATAAGTATGCAAAAAAATAACAGGTTTCCAGGCATTTAGATTATGTAATGATGTTGTAAATTGTATTATTTTAAAATGCCATAACTCTGAACAGAGAAGTTGGATTTTTTATTAACTGTATAGGCGTCCATTACATGTCTTTTAGTAAATTCCTTCACAGTTTTTAGGTTTTTTTTTTTTTTATGAAAAGCTGTGATGTATACAGCCGACAGCTTCAAAGGACAGAAGTACATACAGTATCTATTCATTGTACTTTCTACCTTAAACACAACTACACTTTTCAGAGTGAGGTCATTCTACACAGTTCTGTGGCTTTTGGATTTACAGAGAAAAGGTTACACCGACAGGGGAAACCATGAGCACAAAGAGGGAATTTCCAATGTGAAAATAAAACTTATACAAACCTTATGTGGGAATTTTTTAGCAGTTAAAGCAGGCAAAAAACCCCCATAATTGAATCCAGTTGTGAATTAGTTTTAAATCTTTTTATAAATATTCTTTAAATGTATTTTACACATAATTTGAAAAAAATAGCCACATGCCTTGTTATCATCCAACTACAATCCTCTATCCAGCAGCCCAGGACAGGAAAGGCAAGTATTGTAAAGCCAGCCATTGATGGATCGAAATTCAATCCAGTTCAGCAAGGCCGGCTGGTTGTACAGAAGTCGATCCCTCAAATTGACTTCCGTACAACCAGCCTTTTGTGCTTTTATCACCTCATCAGTGCTGCCGTAACACTGATCATTGTATTCTGCCAGCGTGGAAGTCTCCAAACAATAAAAACAGCAGGAGTGATTTCCCCAATGCAAATTGATGTGTGGATGGGGGAATTGGCCCATTTTTCTTCATTCAACCAAATGTATAATGCGCGGCCTGCCTAGGACAATAAGGCCCTACCGCACTGCAGAGTGTTGTCCACCTAACACTGGGCTTCCTCAAAGAAGGAAAGAGTAGAGTGAGGATCTCATCAGTGCCCTGTTGCTCCTTCATTGTCTAGACAAAGGTTAGGGCAGGTTCTAGGCAGATTGTATACTGCCATACATTATACAACTTTCTTTTAGATTTACCAAAACCATATAACATGAGGTCAAACACTTTCAATTTGTATGCAACCAGGCAGACCTTTGTACTACATAGTTGAAGGTAAATCTAAAGAAAATTGAAGAAAATTGTAGAATCTATGGCCAGCTTAAGACACTTGTGTACTACATGTATATGTAGTTAAGGTTTGTAATTAGCCAATTGTGTACAGTTTTGCTTTAATTAAAAGAAAAAAAAGTTACCTATGTGTTGACCTAGATACCAACTGTGTTGGGGTCTACTTACCTCACACAGCACAATTCCAAATGAAAATATATCCACTTTCTCATCATATATTTTACCTGAAATAACAGAATATGAAATGTAAATTTAGCCTTTTAGTCAGCTCCCCACCCATTGACTAGAGCAATAAATCCTACTGCTTTCACTTCAAACCCCCTTGATATTTGAATATTACCATTTAACATTTCTGGTGCCATCCAGTATGGGTTGCCCACCACTGTATAACGCTTCTTGCGGTCTGTTTTACGAAGAGTTCTCTTTTTTGTGGGAGGTCGATCTGGTGGGGGTTTGGGTTTTTCTTCTACAATGAGTCTGGACAGTCCAAAGTCAGCAACCACTACTGTTCCATCCTACAGTAGAAGACAGATGGCTGAGAAAAGCTGGTTTATAAGAGCAGAGAAAGCCATGTGGCAAGTGAAAGCACAGAAAATCCAAGATCTACAGTACAAGAATGTTGTGGGAGGAAGAGGAATAAGATCAAAAAGGGAATGCAGTGAATGAACATTGTAATAGCAAAATAATACCATTTTGATGAGACAGTTGTGCGAGTTGAGATCTCTATGTATTATGCTCATGAAGTGAAGATAAGCCTAAAAAGAAAAAAAGCAACAATTGAGGATACTAGTTATAAAATATTAGAATATTTTAGGAACAAAAAAAAAAGAAGAACTATAGTGGTTTTCATTTTTTGTTTTGAAAACACTGATGCATAATAAATCGTCTTTATATTTCAGTATTGGCTTTTTAAATCTTTAAGGGGAAAATAATAACTTTTCATTTTATGTTCTGCAAGAGATGCTGGATTTTCAGGTTTTCAATGTAGAAAGCCTAGCACATAAATGTAAACTGCATACAGCTTGCTCACCAAATGACAATGCATCCACTTTCACATCAGATATTAACAGAATATGTACTGACTCTCCTTGTGTAATCTGAAGGGCCTTGCTGTCAGTCAGACAGTTAGGTGCTGCTCTCTGCATAAGGGCTCCTATATAAAAGGAAGCTTGTGAGTTCCAGCCAAAAAAATTAAGAATTTGTAAATAAAAGGTAATACCTTTTAACTCTTATTAAGACTTACATAAGAGGAGAGTATACTAAAGAAATTAATTGCAACTGCCCTTCTCCTCCTACATATACATCCTTTTAATGACTCCAGCTGTGGCCCACAATGGCCAGGACGGCACTCTAAACCTCTTCTAAGATAGAGAAGTCATTTTGGCACTCTGCATGCATGGCTTACAGAAAAAGCCGCACATATAAAGCACTGTGAGGCCCTGCTGAATCAGAAGAGGACCAGAGAGGGGTGCATCTCCTAAGATGGGCCACTTATGGTGTAAGACACAGCTGTCAAACACAAGGCCCACGGGCCAAATATGGCCCTCCAGGCCATTTCATGTGGCCCTTCACCTCTCCTACAGACCCCCTGTACCCCCAACCTTCACCTTCACCTCTCCTACAGGTACCCCCTGTACCCTTGTCCCTCAGCAGTCGGCAGCAGAGAGGAGAATAGAACCCCTCTGCCAAATCCTGCACCTCTCAGTGCAGCTGCAGCACCCCCTCATCTCTGCCTCCCCTGGTCTCAGCATTCAGCAGACTCTGGTAACTGATTCCACTTCTCCTCTGGTCCTCCTCCAGACCCTGCACTGTTTCCCAGCTCTGCCCCCAAAGTGGGTGCACAGTGATGTTAGGAAGGGTGTGGGATTCTTGACATCTGATGTAATAAGAGGTGGGGTGCTCTGGACATCTAGCCTTACAGATACAACCAGCCCTTTGAGGGCAACCATAATGCTGACACAGCCCTCGATAAAATGGGAGTTTGACACCCCTGCTCTAAGGCAAGTAAAAGAGGGTATAGTTCGGTTTAATATGTTCACTAATACTTTATTTGTAGTTCTTTTTAGCACGTTCCTCCTTTTAAATATCTTCCTTTGCGTGAAATACCTGGTGATCCTGCCAGTCACCCCTCTTTCCCATTTCAAACTGACCATGCTTAGGCTCATCCTTCCCAGAGTGATCAGTTTTCTGGCTGTGCTGTGAGAACAGTCTGCCTCTCCACCAATAGTCAAACTTGTGCTGACCCTCCGCACAGCCATTCACTGAGAAGATGACATACTTCCCTGTAATCTCCACCCCCAGCTAAGCCCCTTATGCAGCTGAGACAAAGATTATGTGATCACGCAAATCTAATAATAAAAAAAAAAGAAAGAAAAAAGTATTATTTATTTATCTTTATACAACTTTGCTTTTCATTTCTATTTTAAACTGAATGGGTTTTACAAGGTGAGGATTTACATATACTTTAATTATGTAGCACTTCATTCGATAAATACACATTGTAAAAATGCAACCATCGCTGTAATGGTGCTAAATTAACTTGACCATCATTCTGAGACAAGATTACACTAGCACTGATTCATTAACAGGGGCCACAATAATGAAGAAAAGTGCATGTTCTAAAACTGCTTAAAAACAAGTTAGAGCATCTTCTGCAACATGGTCATCGTTATACATCTTGGTCACATAACACCAAAGCTGAAATCCCACCATCCATTTCCTAACACTATAAGTATTGGGAAACAAGGAAGGATGCAGTGGCCAGATGGACAGTAATTATACAAACAATACTAGGTGTGAACTGCAATACCTATAACACCATGGCAAGACAGTGAAGTAAGAGGAACATGGAGCAGCATTTAAAGCGGAGTTCCAGCTGATGTAAAAAAAAAATTAAAGTCAGCAGCTACAAAAACTGTAGCTGCTGACTTTTAAACTACAGACACTTACCGGTCCCTCGGTCCAGCGGTGTCCTCACAACCGCTGGTTTCACCATCCGTCTTCTCTCCCCAGTGCCGGCATCTTCAGTGTGGGCACCCGGCTGTGACAGCTTGCAGCTTCACAGCCGTGTGCCCACTGCGCATGCACGGGAAGCTCTGCACTTTGTGAATGGCCCTGTAGTCTCCTGGGACCTGTCCCGTGTCCCAGAAGACTAAGGGGAGGGAGGGGGGAGGACAACTTCCGTTTCCGATCACCTTAGGCAATCACAGCGGAAGTGGGAGCAGGTACCTGCCAAATTCGGGTACCCGTTCCCCAAAAGGTGCCAATCCTTAATGGGGAGTGGGGGACAATGCATTAAAGCGGAAATTCCCCTTTTGGATGGAGCTCCGCTTTAAGGCTAGGTTCACATATGTGCGGGTGGTGCCGCTGTGGATCCGCACAAAAATCCATGCAGCCGCACCACCCACACAGAAGAATGCGGACCCGTGGGCGGGTGCCATTAATTCTAATGGCACACCGCCAGCACTGGAAATCGCAATCGTACAGTTAACCGAGGTTCCCGTGCGGGCTGCGTTTTCAGAAGAAGTTCAGGGACTACTTCCCTGTGTGTCCGGGAGCACAGAAGTCCATTCAAATGAATGGGCTCTCGTGCTCGAACAAAACGCGGCCCGTAGGAATGCGGATATGTGAACCAGGGGTTACTGTATTGTGCTATTGTAAAAAGGTAGAAGATAGCCAGTATTGTGCAACAATCTTATGAGAAAAACAGCAGACATACCAGCAGTAATTTGGACGCTGGTGGTACTACATACTCAAGCACAATGCTGACAAAGCATTAAAATTAAAAAAAAAAAAAAAACATTTCACATTACACACTGACCCCATGACCACATATACATATATTCTATACAGAACAAAAATGTAACTCCTTATGCCTGTCCCCACTGGTGTCTTGCCTCTATACGACTCCAATGCAATTTGCCATGTGAACTTTTGCTAAAATGTACACATATACTACATATATTCCCTTTTCAACTTACCATTCCACATGCAATGTCCTTAGAAAATGACACCTTTTGTTGCCAAGGGCATGTTTCCTACAGAAGATATGACAAAAAGGCAAAAATAAAAGCTTGTCAAATTTTGTACCATTTCTATATTTTTATAGCAATCAGTCCGCTTTCTACAGATTATGACCCCCTCAATGCATTCTTATGATATCTCCATGTCTCACCCCCTCTAAGGAAGTCCTTCAGAGTTCCACATTCTATGTATTCGGTCAGCAGGTTTAATCTTCGATCCTTATACAGAACTCCAATAAAACGCAGTACATTGGGATGATCCAGAGAACGCATGACCTTTACCTTTTTACAAAACAAACATAAGACAAACTCAGTGACCTGCATGATTGAACATGTTATGCCTGCATCAAAATGTGCTGATTTTGAAAGGTGTATATTTTGATTTAGAAACAACCAACAGTTTTTGAGGGAACAAAAGTAAATTTTACATGTTGCAAGACATTTATCAAACTTTAGAATAGTATTACCATGCAATTCAATTGCTGATTGTTTTATAAAATGGTGCATACAGTACTTTTGGTGCAGTGCAGCACAATTTCAGACCATTTAAATGAATTGGCTGAAATCGCACTGCACCCAGATCGCATGTGAATTGCAGATGAACAAGCAGCGCTTTCCTGTGTGATTCATGGTGTGAACCGGCCCTAAAGGCTCACTTTAGTAACATGTTAACTCCAGTATTGGGGTGCAAATCATGAGATTATTGTGTTACATTCAGTTTATACTGTCACAGGCCAATGGAGCGGAGTGGAACTATAAATAGGGTTAGCTGCACTTTAAGGGGACTGTAGCTGTTGATGTATGCACTTGCACTGGCACCAGACACAAAATCAATCAAAACTAGAACAATGTCTACTCACTTGTGCTGGGGCCAAGTGTTTGTACACAGTGAATCCTACTTAGGACACCAGTTGATGCAGAAATGTCTTATAAAAAGTGGCAAGCGTTTAAAGATTTATAAATTAATAAAAACCATTGAAATACAAAAGTGGCAAGCGAGCATTTAAAAGTTCAATGCTTGTCCTGCATTAAAGTGTTACTAAATCCAGGACCCTGCTTTCACTATATCTGCTTTCCCATAGTACATAGAACATGGAAAAGCTATTATTTTAGTAAACATAAACTACTTAATACCTTTTCTCATCAGCAGTTAGAGCAGTCTTGTGACTTCTATCAGTGTCCAGCACAGCACTGGTTAAAGCTTGTTGGAGGAGTTTTCTTTCTGCTCTAGGAGGATGCAGAACTCCTGATGTCTGTCTGGACAGTGCTGATTGGCCTGTGCTGATCACATGCACTCTCCCAAGAAGAAAAAAAAAAAAAAAAAAAAAAAAAAAAAAAAAAAAAAAAACAACCTCTCTAGCAATAGCATGTGCAGAGTAACTCCACACAATATGTCTTATCAGGAGATAAGAGGGTGACACTGGAAGAAGGGGAGGATCAAAGAAGTCAGGATCAAACAGTCTTGTTACACAATGCAGAGGATTAACCCCTTAGGTTCCACAGTGAGTATAACAAGCATACTTTACTGCATATACAGACTGATTTTACTGTTGTGGATTTAGTAACACTTTAAGTCTGTTCTCAGAAACAACAACATTGTGATAATAGAGGTTGCACACCTACTGCAGAAGCTCTCAAGTGACGATAACTGTACTCAGATGTAAAGCATATCTCCAGGGAAAACAAAATTCTGCCATAGAAGTAGGGTTGTCACTATTCACACCATAGATTAGCTGTGGTGTACATAAAAAGGCAGATCAACGGACATGGTGTTAACAAGCCCTTACACCTTGTATGCCCAGGCAGGTCAACGGCATAACCGGTTATCAAGGGTAATCAAATAAAGAGATTGTGACAACAATCAGATTAAAAGTAATATTTACAGTTAGTTTATCTAAAACCTTGGGAACACACTGTCCATAGTAGCTGCTATATAAAGGGAAATTTTACTGAATTTTCAATGAAGGCATACTTTGAGGAGAACAAAAAGGCAAAAGTTTTTTTTTTCTTTTTGGATAGAGTAAGAGAGGGTATAACCCCAGCAGTTTTGTTTTTGCCGTCTGTGTTCCATTAGGGAGATGTTCCTTCACATCCAGTCCCATAGCCAAACAGGAAGTGAGCGAATCCTTGCTTGTCACCAGAACTGTGTCCCCTTTTAGAAGATTTCCCCTCTGTTCTTGTTTTGGTGATGTCGCAAAATTTAAAAATTTATTTTACTTTCACTTTCTGTGGTAACTGCAAACAAGCCTTTATAGGAATAGTCACCTCTATGCTGTGGCATTGCTGTGATGCTGCAGCTGCGTCCCCACCAGCTCTAAGCCTGAGAACTGAGCAATCACATGACCAGAGCGTGGGCTGTAAATTACTGCTCTCTGCCCTGTCCTTCCAATGCGCACAGGGGTGGGGACGGGGCAGGCCCAGCTGGCTTCAGGTAGCCAATTGTCAATCAGGCAACTGGGTGGATCTGGACAATATATTTGGGATCCTTCCAGACCCTGGAGCGTCTCTGTGACATAAAGCCCACTGTCAGCTGATTCTGGGTCACAGGCAAGCAAAAGTTTGTATACTCCTGGGACTCACAAGAGAAGTATGGCCAATACATTTTGGCCATACTTCTAACAGCTGTTAAAATAAGAGGTCCATCATGCAGGGAGTGCAATGAGTCAGCTGATTCAAAGATGTCCATCATTTAAAGAATGTGTTACCCCAGCATTTCATATTCCGAATGAGTTTGTTGTACCATGTACTTGTGTTCAAGTATCCTGTTCTCTTTGTATTGCTGCCTTTGTGCTTTCCCATTAAAAACGGATCATACTAGGCATGACAGCGTAACAGTCCTAGCATGGTCAGTTTTCTGGATTTGCTGGGAGAACGGCCTGCCTGTCCTCCAATGGCCAAGACTTGTGAAGACACACACTGCTGCACAGTCATTTACTGGGAAGACCAGTGGTACTGCCGTCTCTCCAACAGACCTCTCCAAGTCCCTTATGCAACTAACAGAGATTATTTGATTAAAAAAAAAAAAAAAAAATATATAGATATTTAAATGTGTTACTAAAAAGGTTATTTTTTTTTCTTAATTAAAATAACAAACATTTTATACTCACCTGCTCTGTGCAAAGGGTTTTACACAGAGCAAACCCAATTCTCTTCCCGGGTCCCCTCCCCCACAGTTCTATCATACATAAAATGAAATTGAAGAAAAAAAAAATATGAAAATACTAAATTTACCTCTGTCAAGAAGGTTTTCTGAGTTTGCTCATCAAACTGTATAAGTTCTTTTATAACCATTACTTTCCCAGTGGCTCTGTGTGTGACCTGTAAGCACAAAATCATTTTTTGCATGGCTTAGGAGAATATAATTGTATTACTAAAAAAAAACCCCAGAAAAACAAAAAACACAACAACAAACTGAGCTAGAAACCACTCACCTTAATGGCTCTTCCAAAAAATCCTTTCCCCAGTTCTTCACCATGTAGCAATTCACATGGCCGGAAGATCTGGGCCCCTACTGCGCAGCGCAGAGATTCCGAGCGGGACACAGAACGAGGGTCTTTTGGTGAACATGGCCCTGGAGAACGGCTGTTACTGTTGCTGCGTCTGTTTGTGGGGTGAAAAGTCATGGACATGTCAGATGGCAGAAAGTTAAAGGTTTGTGTCGCTGGATGAGATGCAAATCAAAAACTGACACAGAAGAAAAAGAAAAACCACAAAGAGAAATTCTAGACGAAATGATGCCAAGAGGTATTACAAGCACTAATAAATACCAAAACAATAACGGCGATTTAAGCCGGCCTTACAAAATGAGCCAAGATCACTTGCGTAAGAATGATCAGGCCCTTGCGGGTTGCCTTTTTCACTGGCATATCTACTTGTTGTGCATGGTAAGTCAACCTACCCCTACACAACACATTTTCTGAGTGTTCTTAATACAAGCAAAGGTAGCCTGTGCAGTTGACTACCATTTTTTTTTTTATTCATTGGGTGGGTACGGTGATCTTCTAGTCAAGTCCATGATGGAGGTGCATCACAATGCCTTCATAGGTCTACTCCAACAGCCGTGAATGGCTGACATTTAAACCCCCCAGTGTAGTCCCTTGGCACTGCTCTTTTGAGGTTCCCTATACTTCTATCACATAGAACTGTAGGTCGGTCACCCAACCTTGACAGCACAGGTTATCAGTTTTGTTCTTTGTATGGCCAGCTTTAGATCACCAGAAGAGTACAAATACTATTATAGTATAAGGAGTGCTGATATGAACAAGACTGCAGGGTTACCTATTAGAGGGAGAGGGAAGGGTTATAAGATTTTACTAGAGCTGGTAGAGATTTATGCAAGAATAAAAGTTGGTGCTTTTGGAAGTGTAAATGAAGTAAAAAAAAAAAAAAAAAAAAAAAAAAAAAAAAAGCAAAATCGAACAGTGAGGGTAATCTGACCGGATGGAGCACCGCTTGGTGTTGTTTTCATTGAGGCCCCTTGCATCACGAGGGTGAAGAGAAGGAGATTTAGGGGGAGCTCTAGTCACTGGGGAAGCCAGTGGGGGGTTGTGCTCTACCAGAAGCTGCAGGGTCCGGTCTGAGCAGGAAAGCAGTTTATCAGCCTGAAGGAAGGGTGTAGGAAGGGGATTATAAGGAGGAGATAGCAATTTACCAAAATCACACACACATGAATTAGGCCTTCATGCTGAAAACATCTAACCAGAATAGGTACCCCATTCTGGACAAAACAATGCAACCCCTGACCTCTTTAGGTGGTAATGAAATGGCAGGAGAGCCATTAATTTCCAAGATGCGATCTCCTGGGTATACCAAGTTCCGCGCCTCAAATGTTACTCTATAAAGATAAAAAATTAAATGGGAATTTTTTAATTTTTTTAATGCAATTACAAACTGCAACATTTACTGGTTACAGATAGCAAAAAGACAAAAAGGTGCCTACTCACTCTGTAACTTGCATGTTCTCCACCGATATAGAGAAACCCCTGTTTTCAGTTGCACTGGGAGGCAGACGTAGAAGGGTGAGCATGTGGGACTGCGGTTCCTGAGCCGATTCATTACAAAGGCCCTCAAAATGCGGCTGCAGAAGAAGCAGCTTTTGGCATGGACCACTATAGAAGTAAGCAACATGCATCACTTACTAAATTAAAAACAATATAACTGTCTGCATATATGTAAACATATACAAATAATGTGGGCAAAATAATACAAAATTAAGTGCAAATGGGCACTCAAAAAACAAACACTGTATACCATGTGACACATTTATGATGTCGGTTACAAAATTTCCCCCTAGAAAACTATAAACAGTAATAAAAAGTTTCCTAAAGCAAATCGTATAACAGCAAATGGAATTTTTGATCTGCTGGTGCTGCAATACCATTTTGTCAATATTTAATTCCCTCCCAAAAAAAATAAAAAAATAAAAAAAGGAAACTTCAAATTCTAAGTCACACTGTACCAGGGTAATTTATTTGGTTAAACATTTCCAGATTGCAGGAACACATGTATCTTTTTTTTTTTTTTAAATGTTTCCATTTCCTTTACTTGGATGAGAGATGTAGAGCACACTATTATATTGCCACATGTAAGTTTACTGCTTCTCTGCTATCAAAAGCATATGCTGTACAATCTGATTGTACTCTTTCATCTAAAACGTAAATGTGTACAGCATTTTCTGTAAGGATCTATGAGGCAATTTACAAACTAAATTGTGTGACGCATTTAGCGCCATTGAGGGAAAAAAAAAAAAAAACACATCTGATTTTGGCCATGAATCGTTTTGAATTTGTCCTTTTATTACATTGTTTTGGTGAGTCTAAAGGTCATCATGTACATGACAATTTGACTGTACAATTGCTATACAATCAACCTTAGAAATACCAAAACTATATAATATGAGGAAATACCTAAACTATCCAATCAACCAATCAATTTATATCCATTCACAAAGGCCTTTGTTGGAGGATCTAAAGTAGTGTGATGAGCTTGGAGGAATTTGTACAGGGTTTGCACAATCAGATTGTATAGTGTATGGTCAGCTTAAGGAAGCGTTGTGCAAGAAGACAATGATGTGCCTAGTCTGGATAGTCAAACTAGGACGTGGGACTTGCCTGGGAAGCCAAACGAGAGTCTTTTCACATCAGCACATTCATTCCCAAACACAAATTTGGTAAACAGTTACCATATATTCAAAGCACTGCTTCTATTACTTTTAGCTTTCACTGATGATGTTTTTAACAGAGCATAGTATATCAGTGGAAAACGTTTGTTTTCAAAACATTAGTTAGATTCCCTAAGGCCCTGTTCATACGGACCAATTGCAGTGCCTTGGAAAATTCATGCCCCTTGAAATTTTCCACATTTTGTCATGTTACAACCAAAAATGTAAATGTATTTTATTGTGATTTTATGTGATAGACCAACACAAAGTGGCACATAATTGTGAAGTGGAAGGAAAATGATAAATGGTTTTCAACATTTTTGCAAATACATATCTGTGGCGTGCATTTGTATTTAGCCCCGTTTACTCGGCTACCCTAACTAAAATCTAGTGGAACCAATTGCCTTCAGAAGTCGCCAAATTAGTAAATAAAGTCCAACTGTGTGTAATTTAATCGGAGTATAAATACAGCCGTTCTGTGTAGTCCTCAGAGGTTTGTTAGAGAATATTAGTGAACAAACAGCATCATGAAGGCCAAGAAACACACCAGACAGGTCAGGAATAAAGTTCTGTAGAAGTTTAAAGCAGGGTTAGGTTGTAAAAACTATCCCAAGCCCCCCCCCCCCCAAAAAAAAAAAACTTCTAGCAATACACACCAAACTGAGCATGTGCAGAGTGACTCCACACTCATGAGGAGATAAGAGGGGGCACTGGAAGAAGGGGAGGATCAGAGAAGTCAGGATCAAACAGCATTTTTACACAATGCAGAGGATTAACCCCTTAGGTTCCACAGTGAGTATAACAAGCATGCTTTACTGCATATACAGACTGATTTTACTGTTGTCGGTTTAGTAACACTTTAAGTATAGGGATGTACCGGTACCATTTTTTTTCTTTTTTTTTTAATCGGGTACGAGTACCAATACTTTCAGTCAAGTACCAATACTTTGCGGTGCGATTTGCATCCATACAAAATGAATGGGCACAAATCGCATTGCAAAGAATGACGTGATTTGAAAAGGAATGCGGTGCATTCCTGTCCAAATTGCATATCTGTTTCCTCACCACTCCTGTGTGAACCCAGGAGTGGTGCGGGAAAAATCCCTGCACTGATCCCATGCTGTCATACAACTAAAAGCCTCTTCACAGCTTTCTCTCCTCTTGCAGCAGGCTAAACGGCTTCTGATTGGTCAGCACTGTCACGGTGCTGACAATCAGACTAGCCCATACTGTCATTACCGTCATGGTGCTGACCAATCAGTCTATCCCGTACAAATCAGTCTAGCCCGTACGGTCATCCCTGTAAGGAGAGGAGAGAAAGCAGCTTCACATGTCTGGGGATTTGAAATCCATTGTGGGTCTAATAGACCCCAGATACAGTGGGGATCGAAATTTTGGGCACCCCAGCTAAAAATTTGTATTAATGTGCATAAAGAAGCCAAGGAAAGATGGAAAAATCTCCAAAAGGCATCAAATTACAGATTAGACATTCTTATAATATGTCAACAAAAGTTAGATTTATTTCCATCATTTACACTTTCAAAATAACAGAAAACAAAAAAATGGCGTCTGCAAAAGTTTGGGCACCCTGCAGAGTTAATATCTTGTACTGCCCCCTTTGGCAAGTATCACAGCTTCTAAACGCTTTTTGTAGCCAGCCAAGAGTCTTTCAATTCTTGTTTGAGGTATCTTTGCCCATTCTTCCTTACAAAAGTCTTCCAGTTCTTTGAGATTTCTGGGCTGTCTGTCACGCACTGCTCTTTTAAGGTCTATCCATAGATTTTCAATCATGTTGAGGTCAGGAGATTGTGAAGGCCATGGCAAAACCTTCAGTTTACGCCTCTTGATGTAATCCCCCGTGGATTTTGAGGTGTGTTTAGGATCATTATCCATTTGTAGAAGCCATCCTCTCTTTAAACTTCAGCTTTTTCACAGATGGCATCAAGTTACCATCCAAAATTTGCTGAAATTTTATTGAATCCATTTTTCCTTCTACTCGTGAGATGTTCCCTGTGCCACTGGCTGCAACACAACCCCAAAGCATGATTGATCCAACCCCATGCTTAACAGTTGGACAGAGGTTCTTTTCATTAAATTCTGTGCCCCTTCTTCTCCAAACGTACCTTTGCTCATTCCGCCCAAAAAGTTCAATTTTGACCTCATCGGTCCACAGAACTTGTTTCCAAAATGCATCAGGCTTGTCTATATGTTTATTTGCAAAGTTCAAACGATGATTTTTGTGGCGAGGACGTAGAAGAGGTTTTCTTCTGATGACTCTTCCATGAAGACCATATTTGTACAAGTATCTCTTTATAGTGGAATAGTGTACCACAACTCCAGTGTCTGCCAGATCTTTCTGGAGGGATTGTGCAGTCAAACGTGGGTTTTGAATTGTTTTTCTCACAATCCTGCGAGCTGTTCTGTCTGATATTTTTTTGGTCTTCCAGATCTTGCTTTAACTTC